ATTGAGAACCGTCTGGGTCCGATCGAGGTCGCGGTCTTCAACGTCGGCGCCAACGTCCGCTTCCCGATCACGGGTATGTCGTCGTTCCGCTCTTGGTTTATGGACCCAGGTATCCCATGGTCATCTTGTAGAGACCACGTCGCGCGTCTACCGCAAGGTGTGGGAGATGGCGTGCTTCTCGGGCTTTCTCATGGGCCGCGAGGCCGCGGCCCGCATGCTACCACGCGGTCGTGGCACGATTCTCTTTACAGGTAGCCGGCATTTTTATATATGGACGCTTTGTAGCCACGTCTTGCCATAGGGGCACGGCCAGTGTCCGCGGCGGCGCGCACTTTTCAGCGTTTTCGAGCGCCAAGTTTGCGCTGCGTGCGCTCTCGCAGAGCATGGCGCGCGAGCTCTCGCCCAAGGGCATCCACGTCGCCCATATCGTAATTGACGGTGCGATCGACACGCCGTGGATCCACGAAAACTTTCCCAAGGCCAAGGAATTCCAGCAAGTCGACGGTATAGAATCTTGTGGACGCGTTGTCTTTGGTGGTCATGTTGTCTGTCTTCTGGTAGGCTTGTTGCGCCCGGAAGAAATCGCCAAAACGTATGTGCAGATCCACCACCAGCACAAGTCGGCGTGGACGCACGAAGTCGACTTGCGTCCGTGGAACGAAAAGTGGTAAGCATCGCACGAACGCAGTGTCCACCGTTTGCAGCGAGAGAACAAAGATAGCCTTTTACGCTGGAGCGTCCGCAAGTATTCGCTTAAGAGATATGCTGTCTACGCTACTGGTCCACAGGATTGGTGTTCAGTTGGCCACCGCTGTCGTGACGCTGTCGAGAGGCTGTCACGACGATGTTGTGACGATGTTGCGAGGTTGCTGTGATATTGATGGGAGGTAGTCACGATCAAGTCGCGAGGGCCTTCGAGACGCCGTCATGAGACGAACGAGAAGCCGAAGATGAGTGCAATCGAAGAGCCCCACGGCTTTGGTTCAAAATGGCGCTGAAAAACGAGTCTCTTGGCACGCAAACCCGTCTCGCTGGGTACGCAACAGTGTCGCGAAAGTAAATGTCCACGTATATTCGTACCCTAGATCACCCACCACTCGATTCGAATCGTCGCTAGTCCTTGTCGTTTAATGCAAGGCGCCACGATATCATTGGTTTGACGCGTTCATCGTCGACGAGTATAAAAATATGCGTAGAAGCTAGCAATCGTCTTCTTTGATCGCCTGAGAGACCACACCACTGGGACGCTTGGTGCTACTCAATGTGTCCATCATGCTATCACTTGTCCGTCGCTGCTGAAAGACTCCATCTCGCCACTCGCGATCCTACTTGCCTGTGTGCGCAGGATATGTAAGCTTAGAGACACCGGTAGAGACGACGTATCATGCGATGCAGCATGTTGTGCTCCTTCGCAGATCCCGCGACAATCATTCGAGCGTTCCATAGCGTGCCGCATCAATGTGGCGTGCCAGGCGTCCATCTCTGTGGTTTGGACGCGGCGGCCCCGCAACATGGCTGCCAAAACACCCCTACCCCTAAACCAATCAACCCTACCCCCGGAAGAATGTAGGCTCCATGCAGGACTGATGGTCGTTTTCGCGCCCCCCGACGTTGGTTGGCACCACGAACATTGCTCGGATTGCTCATCGATCTGGATCCGCTCCATTTTCTACAAGCAACACGCTCTGTTCATTTCCGCTTTCACAGGCGATCACCACCTCACACAGTATGACCATCGCCACGGACCGCCCAATGACCGTCGAGATGACGGACGCGGTATCCTCGCCCATGGAGGTTGCAGTGACCTCGTCCAAGCCCAAGAAGAAGAAGAAGAAGAAGACAAAGAAGGCAGCACCCAGCGCGTCTGGCTCCAAGCGGCCGCCAGTCCGCGGTATCGATGGCTTCACCGACAGCTACGTCCAGTATGGCCAAACCGAACCGCCAACGATTCCGGTCGCAACTCTTTTTTCGCCCGGGTCGTTTCCCCGCGGAGAGGAGCAGCCACATGGAGGCGACCTCAACACGTTTCGCACGACGTCCGAAGAGCTGCGTGCACTCGAGCGCGTGCGTTGTTTGTGTACCGACACCACGGCGCTTACGCTGGCCCGTATCTAGGAAAACGAGGCGTTCTACGATCGTCTACGGTATGCGGCCGAGACGCAGCGTCAAGTGCGCAAGTTTGCACAGAGCTTGCTATCGCCCGGTATCCGGCTCATTGATCTCTGCGAGTCGCTTGAAAACAAGAACCGCGAACTCGTTCAAGAAGCCGGCCTCGAGGTATGAATGCCGTGTCTTGGCGTATCACGTTAAAGACGCATACCATCTCTTTAGCGCGGCATTGCGTTCCCAACGGGGTGCTCGCTTAACCACGTGGCAGCGCACTATTCGCCCAACGCCGGCGACAACACGGTCCTCAAGTACGGTGACGTCATGAAGATCGACTTTGGCACGCAAGTCGACGGCCGCATCATCGACTCGGCGTGGACGATTGCGTTTGACCCGCAGTTTGACCCGCTGCTTGCGGCTGCCAAGGCTGCGACCAACGCAGGCATTCACGCTGCTGGGATTGACGCGCGCCTCGGCGAGATCGGCGGTGTTATCCAAGAGGTCATGGAGTCGTACGAGGTGACGATCGAGGGCAAGACGTACCCGGTCAAGT